GGCTGATTACAGGAAGCCCGAGGCAGAGTTGCTCTGCCCTGGGCTTCCTGGAATCAGCTGCTGATCAGTTTCAGCAGCAGCTGACTTGGGGACGCCTGGGGTTCTTACCTTGATTCTGTATGTAAGTGGAACTGGTGTCCAGATTCAGCGGCTGTTGAAACTGATCAGTTTCAGCAGCGGCTGATGCCAGTTCCGACTTACTTACAGATTCAACTTAAGAACAAACCTACAGTCCCTATCTTGTACGTAACCCGGGGACTGCCTGTACTCATCAGGGGTTAACCCAGTGAGCACTAACTTAACCAAAACAGACATTAGATTATATAGGTAGCAGATGGATGGAGGAGAAGTGATTTGATAGGTCTAGCAGCAGAAGTGAGACATGCACATAAGCCAATGGTCTACAACAGTTACACAGTATCTCCGCCCATTGCCAATTAAACATATTATCACTAATACAGGTAAATATTTATAACAAGCTAAATAAGCCAACATAAACAAAGACGTATTGATGGTCATTTTGTCGGCCGGAAATATTATGCGTCTCCTGCGGGGGAGGTATTGCCTTGGCGCGATCTTTGGGATTCAAGCTTATTTTCTAGGAACAAAGCAGACAATGAAAAACAATCCCGCGTGGTTGATTGGTACCGGCCTTATCAAAGCGAGGCCCTTTTGGAATGTGGTTGCCAGGGTCAAGTTAACAAGTTAACTGCTGTCTGGGTGCTTCCCAGGGCTAGCCTAATGATTTGAGTTGTCAGTTCTCAGCAAGATACCATGGACTGCCTCAATTTACCCTACAGTTTGTGATGGATGTAGGCAAGCATTTGGAAACAGAGCAGATTTCCAAACTATGTACTATATGTAAAATTAACTGCTTTTATTTTTAAAAGAATCCTCTCAATTATGTGTAGGACTTAAGCGTTCAAATCAAACATGTATTTCTGCATGTTACATGTGTCTTTTGATATAACTACAGCGGTGTGTAACTTTTTTTCATTTTGTATTCCCATTATGAATGCTTGAAAATTGCCATCAAATTAATGTTAGGTTTTCCACATTTTACTTTTTTAAAATTTTCCATTAACTTGTAGACCTGTCAGAGAACAAGGATACATTAAAAATTAAATTTGTAGCTAGATTATATCCCATTACAATACTCTGATATTTTCTCTTATGATTATATTTCACCATCCATAAAATTATGCAATGACAATGCCTCTTCTTGAGCAATAACAAAGAAAATGCTCTTTATCTGAAAAGGCAACCCAGTGGTCAATCAAAGGCACCAAATGCCTTTGGCTGGTGACACCTAATGCTTTCTGGTATATGGTAAAGCAAGCCTGTGGTCCTGGCCCAAAGCAGCAGAGACCCTAGCCAGATCCACAAGAAGTTGTTCTAGTTGCTCGCTATGGAGGAGGTGACCCCTCTGCTGAATGGCTCTGTCCCTGAGCAGAAGCCCTTACAGTGATATTCAGGATATTAGTATGTAATTGAATAGTCATGTAATCGTATCAAATATTAGTGGTTACATGACTATTTGATAGTCCCTGGAAGGGGGTTGGCAGCCAGTGCGCTCCCAGCCTCACTCCCGGGGAGCCCCCGCCCACCCTGTGCTGATGCCTCTCTATCGGAGCAGCAGTGAAGGGTGGCAGAGCCTGGTGGCACTGCCCAGGGGTCTGTACTACACCTCACCAGGACCCCAGCCTTCCACATACCTTATGCCTTTAGAGATCCAGTGTCACTGACCCTGTGACTAGGCAGGGAGCCCTCCACAGTTGTCACATCTACTCATTCACTGTTCAGGTCTGTCAGAGCCATCCTCAGGTACATGCTGTTCAGCACAAGGGTGGATTCCCCTGTAATTAGGGGCTCATTCTTCCCTTTACAATCCAGGTCAGGAGTCTCTACTAGTGTTTTAGACTCCTGAGACACACAGTGAGTACCCTACAGCCCCAGTATCACTACTGCTCAAATCATTCCCACTATATCTGTTAACACAAAAATCAAAAGAAAATCTTAAAAATCAATAGAAATTGTTGAAAGTAGAAAAAAATAATTCTGTACATATATATACATGTGCATACACATCCCTTTCCTGTTATTTTCTTTAATAGGGTTGACATGGCACCAGAATTTAATGTAATCGGAATTATGCTATCTTGTAACTTTCTAAACTTGATTTTTTTTTTTTATTACCTCTACCTCATTCTTACTATTTGGCTGCTTTGCTTTATGTATTTACATTATGTAGAACGAAAAGGGTAGTAGATGTGATGGAGAGGAGAGAAATAACTTTCAAGTGCCATGATTTAGCTTTGGCTGTCTCAAACTCCTTCATGTTAAACCAGTGGTGGGCAATAATTTTTTATGGGGGCCACTCCGAGATTTTGAAAAGTGGTCGAGGGACACACTCTTCTATGATATTAATAGAGTTGGGTATAGAAGAGGGCTTGGGGTAAGGGATTGAGGGTCTGGGAGGGAGTTTGAGTGAAGGAGGCAGTTATGACCTGGGGCACTGGACTGGGGTTCATGGGTTTGGGTTGTGACCTAGGGCAAGGGACTGGGATTTGGAATATGACTGGGGCAGGAGGAGATTGTGACCTGGGCCAAGGGATTGGGGTACAAGAGGGAGTGCAAGGGTTTGGGCTGTGACCTGGGGCAGGGGATTGGGGTACAGGTTCTGGGAGGAGATGTGGGGGGCAGAGGGTTTGGGTTATAGGGGTGTCAAGGCTATTCCCCACTCTGGCACTCCCAGTGCAGAAGGTGGGGGCCTGCAAAAGACCTTAAATACCTTGCCTCTATAGGCTCTGCTTATACAAAAAACTCCTCAGATGCACTGACTCTGGAAGATAGGCTGTCACCATCAAGGGATTTTTTTTAAAGAACCCTGAAAACATCAGGAAGGAACACTTGAATTCCTTCCCCAGAAATACCCAAAGCTCTTCTGCCACAAGAGAACTTGAAAAAAGAAACAAAAGAAAACAGAGAAAACAAATTTTGTCTTTGATAGCTGGCCTCCCAGGCTAGGCTGACATACACACAAACCTCCTGTTACCTTCCAGAATACACAAATCAAATCACTGCCTTGAAAAGGGGGATTTTATTAACAAAGCCAAAAGATATACTTGATAAAGCTTACTTGGTTGCTACATGTTACAGAGCAACTAAGAACAGAACAGATCAAAACGCAAGGAACAATCTCTTTCAGCTGTAGCTTAAATATGGTGAGTGGGGGAAGGAAGGCACATGGAATTTACACAGAGAAGTTTAACCAAACAACCAAAACACAGAAAAATACCCTGATTGTGACTAAATATATGTTTTTCCCTTATTTACTCATGATCCCTTTATGGCCCTGTCCACTTACGTGCCATAACGATCCTGATTATTGCATATTGCTCCTTCCAGCCCTTAACTTAGAACTCTCACAAAGGAAGAGCAGCAAGGTATCTATATACAGGCAGTCCCTGAGTTACGCGGATCCGACTTATGTCGGATCCGCAGTTACGAACGGGGTCCTCTCCCTGGTCTCCAGGGGGACGGGGAGCAAAGCAGAGCAAAGCGGCGGAGCACGCGGGCAGCGGACAGCCCAGACGCGTCTGGGCTGTCCGTTGCCCGTGTGCTCCTTGGCTTTGCTCTGCTTTGCTCCCCGTCTCCCTGGGAGCAAAGCGGGAGCAAAGCGGCTGTCCGCTGCCCACGTGTTCCACCACTTTGCTCCCCGTCCCCCTGGTCTGCAGACCAGGGAGACAGGGAGCAAAGCAGAGCAAAGCCGTGGAGCCCGCGGGCAGCAGGACAGCCACGGCCTGTCTGGGCTGGCCCGCTGCCCCCGTGCCCCGCGGCTT